CAGGTGGGGTACCTACAGGTAACAGGTGTGTACCTGCAGGACCTGGCAGGTAACAGGTGAGGTACCTACAGGTAACAGGTGGGGTACCTACAGGTAACAGGTGTGTACCTGCAGGACCTGGCAGGTAACAGGTGAGGTACCTACAGGTAACAGGTGGGGTACCTACAGGTAACAGGTGTGTACCTGCAGGACCTGGCATATAACAGGTGTGTACCTACAGGTAACAGGTAAAATACTTGAGAGGACTTCCTTTCAGAGCTTTAGACATCTGATCTACTTCCTGTTTGTCTCCTCACTTCCTCTCAGCTGTACCTCTGGTTCTACCTGTGGTTGTACCTGTCAGAGGTTTTAACCAGGTGAGGCTCTCACAGGTTCATGCAGGTTTCAGTAAGTTAAATTTAAGACCTTTAAAGACTTTTAAAGACCATCAGGTAGGACATTTAAGACCAAACCGACACATTAACAGAAACATTTTACTGTCTGAACTTAGCTATGAAAGAATATTTAATTTTAAAAATGTATATTTTGAAACTTCAGACTTTTTCGGACCCTGCACGAGCCCTGCTCTCACCCCAGGGTCTCCTCGGTCCTCAGGAAGTGGAAGCAGGGTTCCTCCATGTGCACCTGGACACAAACACAGCTCAGCTGCTGCTCTTCAGCTGCAGGTGAGATGATTCCTGCAGGTGTTCAAACTCACCACCATGAGCTGCATCAGAGCATGCTCCCTGAGCTGCCTCAGGCCCGACTGGAACCAACAGAACCAGAGCCCACGTTAAATATAAGCAGAACCTGAGAGCAGGTGAGCATGCACCTGTCCTCTCACCTGGTAGTACACTGTGACCTCAGAGTTGGCGTCTCCTCTGTTCAGAGACTTGACCTTACACAGGTGATGTCTCTGAGGCAGCTCCACCACTCTGAAAGACACGGGGCCCTCTGCAGGCAGGGGCTGGAACTGCAGCTTCCTGCACACAAACAGGAAGAGCTCTTTCTACACCTGCTCACACCTGTCTGATGACTCAGGTGTGATGTGATCCAGGTCCTCTGAACTCACTCAGTGAAGAACTGCAGAAACTCTCTGGACTCCTGTTAAAGGAGATATGACCCGAGATTACAGCCAGCACACAAGTTCTCTACACACTGTGTGTGTGTGTGTGTGTGTGTGTGTGTGTGTGTGTGTGTGTGTGTGTGTGTGTGTGT